CCATCAAGCAATGCAAAGGGAAGGTGAAAAAGGGCCAATTACTGGGCGTTCTGTAAGCGATATTGAAGAAACAACTGCAAAAAAATTAGAACCTGTTTTTGAAGAGTTTCGAAAAGTTTTAAGTCATATCTACTATTGGATATCGAATTTGATTAACAGCTCTATGGAATTGATTCTTGGCTTATACAACAAAATTCGTCAATTTGTTCAACCCGTAATTAATTTAATTAATGAAAAATTTATGAAAATTTGGAATAATTTTCCCCCTTTTCGTTGGCTTGTTTATTCCGTGATGATCTTCAATGCGATTCCTTTTACAATATTTTTGGCGTGGGGAATTTTTACTTTAGCTATTAGTTTAGCAATTGCTGGAGGTGGAATTATGATCACGGAAGGATTTTTTATCTTATTGGGATTATCAATTTTTTTACCTGTAGCATTTGTACTTTCATTTATTTCATTCGGATTCGCATTATTTTTAACTTTGGCTTGGTTTGGATTTAAAGTTGGAAATACTGTTAGTCGTAGTATTGGATTAACATCTCAAGAAATGGTGGTTGATGTTAAAGGAGTTGTTGCTGGTACAATGAGATTAATCGGAGTCGGTGGAGATACAAGACATGCATAATTTTTTTTTTTTTTGGAACGATTTTCGTAAATTTTTATTTTTTAGATTATAATTTTAAATAATAACATAAAAAAAGATACAAAAGAATTTAGTTGTTATCTTTCATGTAACCTGATTACCTATAAAAACGGTTAACAGTAAATTATAATTTTGTCATGAGGTCCAAACACGACGGGGATACATGGAAGCAAAGATCTCATTTGTGCGCATAATAAATAATTATTGCTTTATCCAATGTTACACGAAATGAAAGAACGTGCTTATTTGGCACTTTAATTTCTTTATTTCAAACGATTTCGCATGTTGACTAACCTTTCATTTTTCCGAATACGGAATCCAAACTTAGTCATTCCTTTTTTCTTGTACTCATGAATTCTTTAAATTACTGACCCAATTAAATTCGCGTGGTCGTTTTATATGTTTCCTTTTATTTTTGTTGAGATAATTTTCTCTTGATATTTAAAGAATCATCTTATTATTATTATTATTAATTATTAACAAATATAGAGACTATAAACAAAATGAAAAGTTTATATTGTATTATGTGTATTTTTATCCATTAAATTATTTATACATTTTAAATTTTAAATTATACATTTTGGCATTGAAATTAGAACATTTTATTTTTTTTTTTTATAAATTATATAAATTTTTTTTATACAAAATTTTCTTTTTTGAAAATTAAAAACATTAATTTATTTATTTATTTATCAATTCAATTAAAATTTATTTAAATTTATTTTTTTTTAATTTATTTCTATTTAAACACTATGGCAACAACTCCAAGAAAAAAGAGGTTTTCTTTATTCGGAACTCAACAAAATAATTCCATAAATACTGGATCATCACTTCTCACAAATTATTTTCCTAATACCACTTCTATCCGAGACGATAAATTTTTAACATCAGATGATATTAAAAAATCCATAGAAATTTTCGAAAGAATAGTTTTATCAGCAAATGATTATTGCGATTCCATCGATAAATTAGGTAAAACTTCAAAGACATTTAGTAAAGCGCTTAAAGAATATGGAAATATTAAAGGAATGGATACATCACACGGTATGTATCAAATATTTGATCGTCACATTCGTGCACGTGATGTTAACATATCTATATATAATGTGTATATTTATTTTTATTTTTTTTAGTAACATCGTTCCAAGCGACATCCCAATTTTTTGAAATTTATGCTGAAATACAATCAAAATTAGTATGTAAAGATTGTTTACTTAATATTTTTTTTTTTAAGATTCATATTGTATTAATATATATATATATTTATTTATTTTAGAATAAAGTTGTACAAAAAGAATTTGAAACATTGCAAAAATTCTGGGATAAATATTTAAAAAAAGTGACGGTAGGTAAATCTATTTAAAATTATTTTTTTATATTATTATTATTATTATTATATTATTTACTATAAATTAAAATTAATTAATTTTATTGATTTATTTATAGAAAGAAGAAAGAGCGCATAATGATTATATTTCTGATTTGGATAGACAATTAAACAAGGTCACATTGGAATACGAAAAGAAAACGAAAAAAAATATCCCCGATTCATATGATGTTGGATTCTTTTTTTTTTTATTATTATTTATAATATATTTTTTCTAAGTAATTTGCTTATTCTATTTTTTTTTTTTATATTTTATTTTATTTTATTTTTATTTTTATATATTTATTGATAATAGAAATATATAAATTCCGTGACATTAGTCAATTCTGACACTGCGCGAGCGCGTGCAGAATACGTGACACAAATTTCGAAAAGAGAGAGAAACACGCATGACATCATTGCACAAATTATTTGTCGAATTATAGAGAATCAAAATAATTCATTTAATGATTCTAATAAAAGATGTGGACCAAGTGTAACAAAAATAAATGAAACTTTACCTTTAGTAGGAGTTTGCACGCAATCATCACATAATAGTAATAATAATAATGATGATGATGACGGAGATGAAAGTGTGAGTAAATAATAAATTTATTAATCATTTATCATTTATTATTTATTTATTATTTATTTATTTTTTTTTAGAAAATCTCTAAATCAACTAA